GCGAGGTCTCGCTCAGATCTGCGCGGCGCCTCATTCCGCTGGACCTACCAGCAGCCCTCGAAAGTGGCGACAGCTTCGCAGATCGCAGCCCCCCACGGACGGCGCGGTCTCGCTCAGATCTGCGCGGTGCCTCCCTCCGCTGGACCCACGAGCAGCCCTCGAAAGTGGACAGTTTCGCAGATCTCAGCCCCCCAGGGACGGCGAGGTCTCGCTCAGATCTGCGCGGCGCCTCATTCCGCTGGACCCACCAGCAGCCCTCGAAAGTGGCCACACTTTCGCAGATCGCAGCCCCCTCCAGGGACGGCGAGGTCTCGCTTAGATTTGCGCGGTGCCTCACTTCGCTGGACCCACCAGCAGCTTTCGAAAGTGGCGACAGCTTCGCAGATCGCAGCCCCCCAGGGACGGCGAGGTCTCGCTTAGATTTGCGCGGTGCCTCACTTCGCTGGACCCACCAGCAGCTTTCGAAAGTGGCGACAGCTTCGCAGATCGCAGCCCCCCACGGACGGCGAGGTCTCGCTCAGATCTGCGCGGTGCCTCACTCCGCTGGGCCCACCAGCAGCCCTCGAAAGCGGCGACAGTTTCGCAGATCGCAGGTCTCGCTCAGATCTGCGCGGTGCCTCACTCCGCTGGACCCACCAGCAGCCTTCGAACGTGGCGACAGTTTCGCAGATCTCGCGGGAGAGAAGAGGCCGGCAGGAGGAGGCGGGAGGAGGAGGGACGCGACCACAGTTTCAAAACGAAAACCCAACCAAGGAGGGCTGGGAAAAACCAAAAACACGTATTTCCCTAGGTGGTCGAAGTATTTTGACATTTGCTTCGTTTCGGCCTTCCGACGGCCCGATACGGCCCAAGAGCCCCCAAAGATCGCCCAAGGATCGCCCAAGAGGCCTCCAAGATGGCCCCAGAACGCCCCAAGAGGCTCCCAAGACGGTCCAGGAGCCTATTAAGACGCCCAAGATGGCCTCCAAGACGGCCCTCGAGCATTCCAAGAGGGCCCCAAGTCGGCTCAGAGAGGCCCCCAAAACGGCTTCCGACGGCGTCGGACGGGCCAGGAGCCCACCAAGACGGCCGAAGATGGCCCTAAGATGGCCCAAGACGGCCCAAGAGGCCTCCAAGAGGGCCTCTGCCACATAGTCGCTTCCACAAAGGCAACCGCGGCGGTGATTTGCAGTAGGCATCTTCGATCGGGAACGTGAACCGAGAACCCGAGATCTTCGCCCCAGGAGACCCCAGGAGGGGTCAAGAGGTCCATAAGAAGCTTGGCGACAGATCACCTGTCGACTGGTCGATGAGAGCGGAGGAGGAGGAATGAGGAAGAGGCAGGAGGAAACAGAGAATGTTGACTTCATTATTCATGACCGCCATGTTGTCTCAATACGGTCAGCACTCGACCAGCTAGAACCTCAGCGCGCGCGAAGCGCGCGCGATGGTTCTAGTTACATTTCTGTTGGCGACGTCGGACCTCAGGGTCTGGACGCCCTTTCATGGGCCAAGTGACGGTTCAAGCACTATTCGGGATGAAACGCCGATTCCCAGGACGCCGAAACGGGGTCCAGACCTCTGGGAGGCCACGCTAGGAAAATAGCACGACGTGGATGCGGTAGTGGCACGTGGGTTCGTGTCGTGCCTGCGCGGCAGCGACCCCGCCGCGTACGATCGAGGTTGAATGCTGCCAGGTGCCTAGAGTCGGCCAGTATGGAACGACTTGGCGATCAAAAATCCACCTCTCGTTCTCGAGGCTGGACGACCCGCACGGTGTCAGGAGCCAGCGCCTGGGTCGTCACGATTCGAGCCTTGCGTGAAGCAGGGGCGCTCCAAGATACGGTCGGGAAGGTTTGCATGGCGTGTCGCTACGCTGGTTCTGGCCCGCTTTCGCGCCATACGCCATGCACTTCCGAGCCATCAGGCGTCCACGCCCGGAGCCTTCCCGAGCCTCCGTCCCCGTGGAGCGGAGCGCCACGCGTCGACCACAAACCAAACGCCTCCCAGATGGGGTCCGAGTAGATTGGGTCGGAGGAACGCGCCGCATCGCCGATGCATCTACAATGCGGCTCGCTGAATTTTCGCCATGCCGGCGTCGCCGATACATCGTCGATGCATCTCCGATGCTTCGGCGATACGGTGCACTCCTCCGACCCAATTTGCTCAGACCCAATCTAGGACGCCTCTGCAGCCCCTGTTTCGGTTCAGGGGGTCCCACGCTCCTGCTCAGGTTCCTGCTGCTTCCTTTCTTGCTGCGATCCCTCATTATCCTCTCCCTCCTCTTCCTCCTCCTCCTCCTCCTCATCCTCCTTTTTCCTCTTCCTCCTCCTCCTCTTCCTGCTCTCCTCCTCCTGCGCCTCATCCTCTTCCTCCTCTTCCTCCTGCTTCCACTCCTCCTCCTCCTCCTCCTCCTCCTCCTCCTCCTCCTCCTCCTCCTCCTCCTCCTCCTCCTCCTCCTCCTCCTCCTCCCCCGGAGGGTTCCTGGCGCCTCCTCTGAGCTTCCCCGGGCGCTCCTGGGGCCTCCAGATATATTCCAAGAGGGTCACGGACGGGCCAAGATGGTTTCTGGAAAGCCTAGGGTGGCTTGAAGACGGCCCGAAAGGCCCCAAAGATGGCTCCAATAGGACCACCAAAGGGCCCCAAGAGGCAAACATCGTCCCATTCCTTCTTGGGGAAACGTGTATTTGTCGCATGCTGTTTTTGTTCGGTCTTCGCATCGCAGCATGCAAGACGGCCCAAGAGGCCCCCAGGAGGGCCCCAAGACGGCCAAAGAGGGCTTCAAGACGGCCCCAGAGGCGCCCAAGACGGCCCAACCACGCCCCAAGTGGGCCCCGACAGGGGCCCAAGAGCGGAAATTCGAACTGTAGGTTCGAGCTTCTCGCCCCAAGAGGATCCCCAAGACCCCCAGGAGGCTCCCAAGAGGCCCCCAAGAGACCAAAATATGCCCCAAGGACGCCCGCACGAGTCGCCAAGAGGCCCCCAACAGGCAAGCCCAAGACGGTACAATACCGACCCAAGAGGACCGAGCACCTTCCCTAACCCCCCCCCCCCCCACACACACACACACACCAAATGGCTTCATGACATCCCTGGTGAGGCGAATCTCAAACACCCGACGAACTTGTGGGGTACCCCCCACGGTCTCCCAAGAGAAGCTCCTCTGCTCGGTCCGCGCTCTTGCGCCCTCAGACCAGGTTGACACCGTTCGTGGCTACCCCCATGCAGGCAGCTGTGAGCTTCTCAGTGGCCGAGGCTTGCCAGAATGCTAGAACCCAAGCTCGCGCGAAGCGCGCGCGTGGCTCTATATGATGAACCCGGCGACCGGGTCCCTGGGCCTGGGGGCGGCCCACTTTTCCCAAACTCCCCCACCCCGCCCGGCCCGCACGGCGTCAAATCACCGTCCCCGGAGCCGGCAGGCCTTTTTGAGTGGTCCGGGTGGCTCTCCGGACCTCGAGAATCTTCTTCGGCGACCCCACAGGACGTGCATAGTCCGCCAAGACAGTTCCAAGACGGCCGAACATGGTCGCAAAAGGGCCCAGGGCCCAAGAGGCCCCCAAGGCGGCCGAAGAATGCCCGAAGAGGTTTCCCAGAGGCTTTCCAGGAAGCTTGCGAGAGCCATAAATTGTTGACAAATGATTGGGTTTCGTGTTTTTGGGGCTTTCTCGCCCAGATTCTCTAAACAGCATCCGAGACGGCTGACGTGGCCCCCTATTGCTGTTAAGGCGAACAAGGAAGCTCCCAAGAGGGCCCCAAGACTGCCCAGAGTCACCCCCAGAGGGCCCAAGAGGCCCCCAAGACGAGCCGAAGAAGCCCCGAGGACGGCCCGATGACAGCCCCAGAAAGCGCCCAGACTACCCACGGAGGCATTCAAAACGGCCTCCGAAGGCATTTGTCGGGCCACGGACGCTCTGAGACAGCCAAGGAGGCCCCCAAGAGATTCCGAGAGGCCCCCAAAGCGCCCTGAAGAGGCCCCCAATAGCGCCAAATAGGCCTCCAAGATGACCCCAAGAGCTTCCCCAGACGATCCAAAGAGACCCGAAAGAAGCCCCACGCGGGCTTGGACACAATCGGCACCACGACGACCCACCAGGCTCGTTTGGATGTCCACAGAGCTTCCCAAGTGGCTGAGAAGAGAGTTTAAGACGATCCAAGGGCAACACTGCCCAATGAATAGCTTGGATGGCTCAAGAGGCTTTCGCGACGTCCGCGAGAGGTGGCCCAAAAGAGCACCCGTCGTGACATAGCTTGGCGTTTTTTTTTAGGGTGTGCCCGTGTCGATTCGTCTGAGTTGAATCCGCGGTCTCATTATGTATTCAATTCATGTTCAAGGCATTTGTGCGTGTCTATTTGAGTGCAGCTGTGAGCTGCCCACGGGCTGGGGCGTGCTAGAACCTAAGCGCGCGCGCGAAACGCGCGCTACGAGCATCGGAATGAAACGAAGCGAGCTAACGATTAGATTCCAGCTGTTCAATGCATTCCTCCTGCAACTCCCCTCGAATCGTAGTCCGATGCGTTCCTGGAGGAGGAGGAGGAGGAGGAGGAGGAGGAGGAGGAGGAGGAGGAGGAGGGGACGATGCAAACACGTAAAATCTGGGGAAGCATCCTAAGCCTTTCGACAACGATGCCGTCGACGACGACGACGACAACGACGACGACGACGACGGCGACGGCTACGGCTACGGCGGCGACGGCGGCCGTTGCAGTGACAACGATGGCGGCGAGAGCGCATTAAATGGCTCGCACCATATAGGAGACATCACTACAGTGGTGACTTTGTCAAGGAACTGCGAAAAGCTATGAACTACATGCGTACGTGCACGTAGCAATGAACAAGTCGAAGGCGGGTTTACCTAAGCGCGCGAAGCGTGTGCGTGTTCCGAGGGACTAGAGCTCGAAGGCGATTAGTTCCAAAGCCGTGTTTCGTTTTTGGGCCACAGGAGCAGAAGAAGGAGGTGAAGAAGGAGGAGGAGGAACAGAAGAAGAAGGAGGTGAAGAAGGAGGAGGAGGAGGTGGAGGAGGTGAAGAAGGAGGAGGAGGTGAAGAAGGAGGAGGACTCTTCCTCTCTTCGGATCATCCTCGTCTCCTGCCCGAGCGAACCCAACGGCACTGTACAGAACGCCGCCCCTTCGCAACAGAGTCACCTGGCTTTCCGGCCCTCGCCGGCCTGCCACAGCTGGTCGACGGAGCTTGAACGTGCCGTTGCCAGGGAAATTCCTCTCCCATCTTGTGGTTTTCAATGCCCCGACGACCCTTTCGGTTAAGCAAAGCCGCTGCCGTTGTATCATAGTCCACCGGGCAGGCGAACCTCGGATCTGCTCGCGCAACTATCTCTGCTGATGAAGGCAGCAGCTGTGGAGGTTCTGGCCAGGGTCACGCTGCACACGAAAATTCCTCATCCTCATCCTCGCCCTCATCACATTCCGCTCTCTCGTCATCCCCACCTACCCTCACTGGAGCGCCTGTCCGTGGATGGACTGCAGCAACATAACGACGTTATCGTTTCCCAATAACCTGTTTTCTTGGGTCCTCATTTGCAAAGGGCAGTGCCCCGCGTTCCTCCCTCCTCTTATTCCTTCCTCTCCTCATCCTCCTTTTCGTGCATCATCGGCATCATCACCATCGCCATGGCCATCAGCATCCGCATCAAGATCTTCATCATCGTCGTCATCATCATCACCATTATCATCATAATCATCATCACCCACTATACACGCCTCGTGGCCACAGAAAGCTCCACAGAGGGACTCTGTAGTAGTGTTTGCAGTTCGTATGTTTGACAGCAACCATTTCGGCACACCACTCACGAGGATCGTGGCCCAACAGGGAGCTCCACCGAAAGCCCCATTGGCTGGATTCACATTTGTGACTGCGCCGATTCCGGCACACCTTTCACGAGGATCGTAGCCCACAGAGGTAGCTCCACCAATAGCAGCAGCGGCAGGGCTCGCATGCGTGACGGCGCCCATGTCGGCACACCCTCACGAGCATCATGGCCCCATAGGTAGGGAGGTCCAAAGTGGGCCCCGGTGACAGGGTTCGCATGCGTGACGTCGCCCACTTCGGCACACACCCCACGAGGATCGTGGCCCCATAGCTGGCTCCACAAAAGGCCCCAGTGGCATGGGTGCGCATGTGTGACGGCGCCAGCACACCCCTCACGAGGATCGTAGCTTCCGTCGAGAGCCCCACCGCAGGCAACAGTGGAAGGGTGCGCATACCTGACGGCGCCCGTGTCGGCACATTCCTCACAAGGATCGTGGCCTCATTGGGAGTTCCACCGCAGGCCCCAGCGTTAGGGCTCGCATGCGTGACGGCGTCCATTTCGGCACACCGCTAACGAGGATCGTGGCCCCCTAGGGAGCTCCTCCGAAAGTCGCATTGGCAGGGTTCGCACGCGTGACGGCGCCCACTTCGGCACACCCCTCACGAGGATCGTAGCTCCCGATGGGAGCTCCGCCGCAGGCCCCAGTGGCAGAGTTCGCATGCGTGGCGACGTCCATTTCGGCACACCTTCAACGAGGATCGTGGGTCTAGAGGAGCTTCACCGAAGGCGGCATTGGCAGGGTTCGCACGCGTGACGGCGCCCATTTCGGCACACCCCTCACGAGGATCGTGGCCGCATAGGGAGCTCACCGCAGGCCCCAAAGCGTGACCGCGCCAGTGTCGGCACATCCCTCACGAGGATCGAGACCCCATAGGGAGCTTCACGAAAGGCGCAATTTGCGGTGCGCGTTCCCCAGGCGCGGCTAGAACCTGAGCGCGTGCGAAGCGTGTGCGCGTGGTTCTAGCCGGCGACCGGGTCCCTGGGCCAGGGGGCGGCCCACTCCGCCCCACCCCCCCGGCGTCAAAAGTTTAGTCCCGGGCGCCGACGGCCCTTTGAGTTGTCCAGGGGTTATTCTGGACCTCGAAACCTTGTTTCGGCGACCCCACATGACGCTCAGAGGCCGCAAAGACGCTCCCAAGACGGTCCAAGATGATCGTAAAAGGGCCGAAGAGGCCCCCGAGGCGGACGAAGACCGCCCGAATGGAGCTCCGAGAGGCCTTCCAGGAAGCCTCCGAGAGACCTAAACTGTTGAAGAACGATATGTGTTCGTGCAATTTTAGCAGTCTTGCCCAGCTGCTCTTAACAGCGTCGAAGACGGCTAACGTGGCCTTCAATGTTGCTTTTCAGGCGACCCAGTCAGCCCCCAAGAGGGCCTCAAGGCGGCGCAGAACCACCCCAAGAGGGCCCAAGGGGCCCCCAAGACGAGCCCAAGAAGCTCCGATGACAGCCCGAAGACGCCCCCAGAAAGTTCCCAGATTGCCCACGGAGGCATCCAAAACGGCATCCGAAGGCGTCGGGCCACGAACGCTCTGAGACAGCCAAGGAGGCCCCCAGGAGAATTGAGGCCCCAGAAGCGCCCCGGCGGGGCCGCCAATAGACACCAAATAGGCGTCCAATATGCACCGAAGAGCTCCCCCAGAAGATCCAGAGATGCCCCACAGGAGCCCCACGTAGACGACCCACCATGCTCTTGAGGAAGTCCCCGGAGCTTCCCAGTGGCTCAAAAAAGACTTCAAGACGGCCCAGGGGAGTCACAACACGGCCCGAGAAATAGCTTGGGTAGCTCAAGAGGCTTTCGCGGCGTCCGCGAAAGGCGCCCCAAAAGGACACCTGTATTTACATATAGTCGTTTTAAATTTGTCGGGTGTACCCGTGTCGTCGATTCGTCTCTGTTGGATCCGCGGCCTTGCATTTCCCAGGGCAAAGATTCAAGGCAATTGTAGTGAGTGCAGCTGTGAGCTGGCCACGGGCTACGGCGTGCTAGAACCTAAGCGCGCGCGAAACGCGCGCTACGAACATTGGAGCGACACGACGCGAGAAACTAACGAATTTATGCACGCTGTTCAATGCATTCCTCCTGCAACTCCGCTCGAATCGTAGCCCAGTGCGCCCCTGGAGGAGGAGGAGGAGTAGGAGGAGGAGGGGGAGGAGGAGGGGGAGGGGGAGGAGGAGGAGGAGGAGGAGGAGGAGGAGGAGGAGGAGGAGTGAGGAGGGGACAATGCAAACACGTAGAATCTGGGGAAGCCTCCAAAGACTGTCAATATTGATGCCGTCGACAACGACGACGACGACGAGAACGACGACGACGGCTACGGCGACGGAGGCGACAGCGGCCATTGTAGTGACAACAAGGGCGGCGAGAGCGCATTGAACGGCTCGCACAATGTAGGAGAGAGCAGTACAGCTGGGAATGTGTCAAGGCGTTGCGAACAGCTGTAAACAGCATGCGTACATGCACGCAGCAGTGAACTTGCCAAGGGACGATGCTTACTAGAACCTAAGCGCGCGAAACGCGCGCGCCTGTTTCTAGTATACACATATATATATATATATATATATATATATATGTGTATATACATAGAGAGAGAGAAAGAGATCCATTTCGGCATGTAGAATCAACTAATTCTCTATGTGTGTACATATATATATACATATATATATGGTAGGGGCCGTTCATGTGATCTACATTTCTTTTCCTGGCGTTCGGAATGATTAGAGAAAGGGTTTCATTCTATACAACACACAAAGAATCAACTCATATGTCTTCACACAAATGATTCGAACTGGCATACGTCGCGAGTGCTTGTTCTTCTTGCTTCAGCTCAGCAGCGGTAGTACCGTGTGGATTCATATGATGGCGTGCTTCCGTTGCCGATGAGTAGATGCCGTCCGTCCAGTTTGGTTGAGTCTCGATTCGTAAGGCTATCGAACCGCCATGTTTGTACGCGAGTGGTCGGCGAGTGGCTATCGTTCTCCGTCGCTGCGTCCGAGGTGGAGACAGCCTTGAGGGGACGTGGCCGCCATCGCCGCCATCATGTGGCAGTTCCTATCCAATCGTGATCGCAATTACCAGAATCACCATCATCACCACCGCCACCGTCGTCGTCATCGCCGTCGTCACGGGCGTTCGGGTTGCCCCGCCAGTGCAGGTCTCCCTGGCCGAGATCCAGGAGCAGAAGCGGATCACCCTTGGCAGCCCCAACGTTGCGCAGGCGTGGGCGCGGGCCGCCCGACTCCGCCGCGCCGGCGGGCCTGCACCCTCCGCCGATCCCACCGATCGACTGCGCGTAAGAGTGGCCCTTCGCCGGAGTTACCTCTGGTGCGGGCCCACCAGGGTCCCCCGATGGCCGACTGCGATGATGGGGTAGCCTGAAGTCGGGCTTGCCCCTCTACAGGAGGAGTATTCAAACATAGTTTTTTGTTGACAAAAAATGGCTTGACGAAGGACCCAACCATATGCAGGTGTGAGTACCGCAATTGTGATTCACTTTTTCGGTGGTGATCCCAATGAGGCAACGAATCGTGCTAGGTGCGTGCCGAAATGAGTGGCGTGGTACAACGCGAACGAAAACGATTGATCTGAGTACGTAGGGAGACTGAGCGCGGGTGAATATGAGCGCGAGTGCGTCTGACTGTGATTGAATCTGCGTGCGAGCGAGTCTACGTGCATGAATGCAAGTATGACAAAGCATGGTGTACTTGCATATAAATGTCAGTAGTTTGAGAACGACTGCTTCTGAGTACTCGTGACGCTGGGCGTGGCCGCCGCAAGGAGTTTCCCCGGGACTCCCCGACGGCATCGCCGCGACGCCAATGTCGGCGCGCCCCCCCGCGATGATCGCGCCCGCTTCCTCCCCTTGTTTTACGCCCTCTTTGCACGCGCACTCAAAAGTCCAAGGCTGCGGGCGCAGCGCAGCGCGGAGTCCCCGCGACGCGCGCAGGTCGCCCCGGATGGGTCCCAGCGACGCGCGCGGGTCGTCCGCTGCACGAGACGTGTGAGGGGTGTGCCGACATGAATGGTGGGGACGCATGCGGACTGTGCCACGGGGACTTTCGGCGGAGCTCCTACGGATCCACGAAACGTGTGAGGGGTGGGCCGAAATGAATGGCGGGGACGCGTGCGAACTGTGCCATTGGGACCTTCGGCGGAGCTCCTACGGGGCCACGAAACGTGTGACGGGTGTGCCGGAATGAATGGCGGGGGCGCATGCGAATTGTGCCACTAAGACCTTCGGCGGAGCCCCTATGGGGCCGCGAAACGTGTGAGGGGTGTGCCGACATGAATGGCGGGGACGCATGCGAACTGTGCCTGTGGGACGTTCGGCGGAGCTTCTATGAGGCCACGAAACGTGTGAATGGTGTGCCGAAATGAGTGGCGGGGACGCATGCGAACCGCGCCACTGGGACCTTCGGCGGAGCTCCATATGGAGCCACGAAACGCGCGAAGGGTGTACCGAAATGGGCTGCGGGAGCGCATGCAAACTATCCCACTGGGACCTTCGGCGGAGCCCCTATGGAGCCACGAAACGTGTGAGGGTTTTGCCGAAATGAGTGGCGGGGACGCATGCGAACCGTGCCACTGGGACCTTCGGCGGAGCTCCATATGG